TGACCAGCCACGTACCCGGACGTTCAAGTCCCTATCTCGCAGACACGTCCGTTAAATAGTGACTTCTAGGGCTATCTTACGCAATATGGAAGCTATGTTGAGCCCCGGTAGGGGAACCTGTTCAGCCAAATGTCCAGATGATGCAAAGCAGAAAATTGCATTTCTTGCATCACTAGGGGCTTCAAGATAGCAACAATTAGCGCGAATTTATCTTCCAGCACTTCAAGCCGGTTCCAAAAAACGTGAAAAACACAGGATTCTAGAGCGAAAATGCCCCCCCCCACCCCTAGCTAAAGCTAGTAGTACTTGCGGTACTTGCGGTATAATGCGAGCCTCATAAAAACGCCTCGGCGGATTTCACGTTGAATATGGCAGATCATGGGGAAGGAGAGCTAGAGTTCATTCAGCTGTCAGTTTCTTGAGGAGAAAGTCCAAACTAGAGAAAGGTGGACTATGGATCCAACCAGAACACTACATCCAGCAGACAGATGCTGAAAGCGAACGAAGAACAAGTTGGGGAGATCAAACTTCAACAACTATCATCAGACAACTCAATTCAGATGGAGGACTAGCCAGAGATCTTGAACGACCAAGAGAAGACCAGCCTATTCAGAAGCATTTGTTGGTTCGGGAATCACGATGTAGCGTTTACTGTCAAGGAATTGGCTTCAAGAATGGCAAATCCAACAGCTATGTCCTATCATCGTTTGAAGAAGTTCCTAGATACTTGAAGACGATGGATTATTTGTCTAGCGGTTGAATTTCCACAAGCAGGAGAAGGCTATGTGAAGAAAGGTGAACACGATTGGTGTCTAGAGACATTCTCAGACTCAGACTGGAGTGGCAACAAAAGCCATAGAAAGTCAACGTCGCAGTTGTCCATGGTTCAATAGCAGGAGGACACAGAAGATAATTAGGTTTCTTCACGTGAGGCAGAGTTGCGCGCAATACTTTCCTCAGCTTCAGATGGTATATGCATTCGTTCACTTCTTGAGTTTGCGCTTGGGACAAAGGTGGACCGTTACATCTTCGACAGGAAAGAAAACTATGACAACCAAGTCAGCATGTTGGGAAGCGACGCCAGGAGACTTCACTGTGGATTGGTTCTCAATGGTTGAATTGTAGAAGAGCTGGAACCAGATCCTGCGCACAGAATGAGCTATGATATGATCTCAGAAACAAACGCAGCAAACTACTTAGCAAGAAGAAGCTTAGAAGATTTGAGACCCTCAAAAGGAAAATATCGGGGACACGCTATCATGCTAGAGGCAGTAACCCAAGGAGCAGTTCCATCAATATCATTCAAGCCAGGAAATGCAAAATATGATATATGTGGAAAGCGTGGAATATGATGAGGGACAGAAGAATGTACTGCATGGTCGACTTCATGCGAGGATCGAAAGCTTGAATACGAGACGTTGGGCGCTAGAAGGAAGAGGACCGTTTGAATTAGCAGATAGAGTCGACTATGAGAGAAATAGATACAGGATGCTGTTAGAAGAGATCGATTCAGAAGGAGAAGCCTGAAGGAACCCGGTTCCTTAGAGAAAAAGGGATAGAACGGACCTATGACAGCGGCAGAGTGAGCTAAAACTGCTGATGGGCTCTCACACTACCGAGAAGGAGAGTGAAGAGTTTGTAACATAGCTCACATGCGTGATTGCACAGTACTACGGTCACTTCTCACCACTGCGTAACCCTCTGAGTATCAAAAAAAAGGTCACATGATTGTTTATGTATATGTATGCTATAGCTTCTATACTATGCTTTTGTAGCTTTACTGTTTGTGAACTCAAGGTCTGTCGTTTGGGACCACTTGGAGCATTTGTTCTCTGGCGGCATGGAGCGAGACTTAGATTTTTTCAGGACGGCGAAGTTTCTTGAAGGACATTTTTCTTATTGCGAGCCCAAGTTTCTTTTGCGTCCTTGTTAGTGCTCGCCGCCTACTAATAAGCTAATCTTGCTACCCAGCAAGCTATCTACTGCAATGCTGTCTGCCCCTCCCCTCCTCATGGCCTACCCCAAAATATGCAAACACAAACGCACCGCAGTCATGTTCCGAGTGTTCTCAGACCTGCCATTTTGGCCTCCAAGGACGGCACTGTCCGTGCGTGGGACATTCGTATGGGTGCACGAAGTCTTTTTCTTTGCGATCCATATGCGCACGAAGGCGATCCACATCTGCTTCAACCTGCGTCATTCTTGTCGTATCTAAAGGAAAGGCAGGATACACAACATACGATCTTCTATAGGTCTTGGGATGACTTTGGTGCAAATGGACATAAAACTGAACAGAGGCCTTGGAACACTTTGCAATCGAATCTGCTAGGCGCCTGGCCACTGAAGCGAAAGATGCCTGAAAAACCTCAACGTGTACAGGAGGCCAGAGAGCTCAAAATTGTTTTCTGTCAACATATTTGGAACAGCGCGGCGCCACGGATCCTAAACCTATTCAAGTCCCTTAATCATCAATCAAACAGCAACATTGTTACATTCTTCGTGTTCAGATATTGCAAATAGCCGGGAAGAGAGGAGTGATCAAGTCAGATTATTGTAGCGTGGGTCCATCATTTTTTGAGACTGTTTCCTGAGCCTTCTAAGTTGGGATTTGTTGCTAGTCAGTAAGTATGCAGGAGTGGCAGCATGAAGAAGCAAAACCGGAGCCATATCGCTTCAGGCAGGGGATGTTCAGTGACTCAACGTTTATCAGTGTTTATGAGTTGAGCAAGGGTCAAGACCTTTGTTCCGCAAACTGTGGCCACACTTGGGGTTCTTACGGTAAGTGTTAAGGCTGGGTGTCCGATCGGTGGTGTTCGCGGCCGTCGGCGGAAAATTCACTTCGATCTTCGAAGTGCATCTCGACTGCGCAGCCTCGCAGAATCTGCAAGAGAAACCTCGTGTTTTGGTGGTTCCAAAGTTGACTTTTCGTGGGAGGTGCAGGCGATCGGAGTGGTTTTACATCGATGTGCAGATTTCGTGGCAAATGCAATACTTTGGACATAGCGGTGTCTTCGGCGCGCTCTGATTTCGTGTCAGGCGCACTGAATCGCGACTTTTGGACATGTGGTTCGTTTTCTGAACTCGGGGGAAGTCTTGAACGAAAGCTGCGGTGTGAACCTCGAAGTGCAGATTTCATGGCAGGGGCAGTAATTTGTAAATGTGGAAATGCAGATTTCCTGGCAGCGGCAACGCTTTGTGAACCTTTAAGTGCAGATCTCGCACCTTTAGATGATTTCTGAGCCCCTCTGGACCTCTATATAGAGTTTTTTGGATCCCAAGACCTGCCTGCATCTCAAGACTTCATATATAAATAAATAAATATATATATAGACCTTTCAAACTCTAGTGAAACCTTTACATTTCTGACCTCTAGACATAGAGCTCCAGGACCTCTCGACCTCAAGGTCTCGGCCTCTAGATGTCTAGGCTCTAGATCTCTAGACCTCTAGGGTGCGTTTAGACCTTGAGACCTCTAGATCTCTGGATCGCAAGACCTCCTTGGACCTCGAGACCTTTAGAACCTCAGCCAGATCTTTCTGATCTCCGGATCTCTGCATCTCTGGATCTTTAGGCCTCTAGCCTAATACGTCTAGATCTCAGACGTTAGACCTCAAAACAGGGGTCTCTTGCCTGACTAGCAAGGGTGGTGTCATAAGAACTCGGTGTGAGCAATACACTGTGTCGCGGAGGGCTGCGCAAGAGCAGCAACTGCAAGCAAGCTCATTTGCGCAAGTCCACACTATGGTCGCATAAGCATCAGAAGCCAGACCTCATACGTGTTGAGCTCCGCTGAGTTGTGACTGACCTACAACCTGAAAAATGGATCTACCAATTCAATATCTACCAAATATATACCACACACTTCAGCTTTGTGTCGGAAATGGAGTGAGGTGCAGGGAGAAATCGGGCACTGCCATGCACTGCCAAGAGGGTTCCGATATGTTTTGAAAAGAGCCCAGAGCTAGCTCTGCAACGAATAGTTGTAGCCGCGTATCCCGTAAGAGACCTGACCTCAAAAAGCAGAACAAGCTGGTGTTTACTCTTCAAACTTCTTTTCGGCCACAGGTGGTTGCATTGCAGTTACCGTGACAACTTCTCGAAATGTGTTTCAGCAGATCTTTTTGACTCATGATCTCTTGAAGATTTCTTGGGGGGTTTTACCGGATCTCTGTGTAGAACCTGCTTTTTGCAAGGTCTCTTTAAGATTTTAAGGATTTTAAAGGTCTTTCACCGATTCGCGCGTGATCTCTGCAGTGGATCTTCGATCAAGACCACCATCGTCGTCCACCATCCCCTCATTACTGTATTAGGAAATATTTTCAGGATTTCTTGAAGGTTTCCTGAATTTAATCGTTTGAGTGAGTGGGTTTTGGTGCTCTTTGGTGTCTTCAGGATCTGCTTAGCATCTTCGTGTTGAGAGATCAGTTGAGGACCGTTACAAGGTCTGTTTTGGCTTGAAATAGTGTGTGATATCGTGAATGTGTTGCAACCGTTCACGCTTGCGCCCTCAAACGCGTGGGGCCCACTGCTCCCGCAAGCGTCGCCAGCGTCGCCTCCAAATCTGGAAACAAGCAAGTGCCGCAGTGAGCGCCCCGAAAGATGCCGAAAGTATATATTGCCCCTGTATTATACTTTCGCATTTTTTCGCGTAGAATAAGTCTAATTGTATATTTATATAACGCAAAGAAGGAACCTCGCGCTGGCTGGCTTAGTATTGCACTGTATGTGGCACGAACTTGACTTCTCCAAAAGCTTGTAAAACGATCGGCGTCTACCGACTCAGTACTAGTGTGGGTACTATGCTTTACAGCTTGCGTTTGGTAACGAAGTAGCGAGTGCATTGCTCTCTGCTCTGCTAGATGGGCTATGTCAGCATCAACTGGTCCCGACTGGTCATCCGCCTCTGCAAGGAAAATTTCTATTGCGGGGGCTTCCTCCTTGGTGGATGTGTGCACTTCTGGGTCATTTGTATCCGCAAATGGCATCTGCGGATTAGTGGCCGCTGTTACAGCTGACCTTGCCGCCGCAATGCTCAGGAGACCTGCTTCAGGCGGTAGCGGTGTGTGTAGCCGAGACTGAATCGCATCAATCATCCCCTGCTCTGCAACCCGTCCCTGTGGGTTCTCAGCTGGTTTGGCCACCTTGGACTTGACTGCGAGAGGCCCTTGTACTGATGTCTTTCAAGCGCAGCAAAACTTGTGAATTCATGTGATTGATGTGTTTGCAGGTCCATGAAGCGTGTTTTGGGCACCGACCGCAGATTTGAGGAGGGCTCTGTGAGGATGTTGACCACATCCGACAGCATCTCGGCTTGTTAGCCTCCCACAAGTTTTTGTTCTGATTGTCAGTTTTTATGTCATACTGTCGCAAGCTTCCAAGCTTTGCGCGGGGTACGTAGATTTTACCTGTCAGACCCTCCAAAAAGTTGTGCCAAGCTTTTCACCTTTTACTGGTACTCGTACTACTGCTGCTATTGTTGCTTTTTCTTCAATTGTCAATTAGCAATATTCAGTTTTCAAGTGGACAATAGTGGACATAATGGTTTTTCAATTTGCAAATTTCACTTTAGGGGTTTCGTCATGGAGTCATGGGCCATGGGAGACTTCAATGTCTGGAACTGCTCAGGATGGGTCAGGTTGTGTTGATAGATATCGCCGTAGCTTTCAGTCAAGTATGTTGATAGAGCGTGTGTTTGAGGGCTTCGCTTGACTGCCCTTCTTTCCCAGGCTAGTGTGACTGCCTACGACACGATGGTGGCATTTTGCACATTTTGACACACTTTGCTGTTCCCAGAAAACATTTCAAGCGCAGTAAAGGCCAACTTTTTTGGCACAAAGCCCCAACAAGTCTTTACACACAGTAAAGGCAAAATCTGGCAAACTTTGCTGCTCTTCGAACACATTTTACACCGTAAAAGCTGAATCTTGCCAACTTCACTGCTCCCCAAAATTTGCTTGGTGCCCTAATGGCTGACTCTTGACAATTTTGCGGCTCACCAAACATTTCAAGGCTCTGTTAATGGCTGTTAAGGCTGAACCTGGCTAAATTTGCTGCTGTGAGGAAAATTTTCAAGCGCAGTAAAGGTAGAATCTTGTCAACTTTGATGCCCCCCGGTCTTTTTGGAGCACAGTAAAGGCTGAATCTTGCCAGTTTTGTATTACCAGAAAATGTATCGAGCGCAATCAAGGCTGAATCTTGCCAACTTTGTTTCCTGTGTGCATCTATCTGTGCTCCAGGTCCTGCCCTTTGCGCACGCCCTTCGTGCACCTTTCTAGCCCCGACCCTGGCCAGGAAGGACCGAGCCCAGGACAGCAAGGGAACTGTAAAAAATTGACCGTGGTGTCTCAAATCGTTTTTGTTGGTGAAGAAAAACAACACCAACAAAAACACCAAAAATACGCTGTGGCCGCCGCCCAATTTTTCCAATCAGGTCCCTGGCTGCGTTACAGATCAAGCTTTCTGCCCTCGCCCTTCGTGTTTCTTCAGGCACAGTGCAAAAAGCGCGAAGTGGGTCACCAAAAGTGCACGAATAGACGAATAGCGTGCGCAAAAAGCACGAACGGAGGCCCAAAAAAGGGCGCGCGCAAAAAGGGCGTGCGCAAAAATATGCGATCCCAGATCGTGTTCCAGGTCACATTTTGCATCAACACTTTGCGTTCGCAGTTCGCAGTTTGTGCAGCAACTGCAGTAGACAAACTGTCGTCCAAAAGGACTTTTTCTTTTCCTTGGCCAGGCCAGCAGAAGAAACCTCCCACAGTTTCCAACCCTTTGCAGCCTCAGTCTGGAAGAGGTACAGTTTTGCTGCCAGGCTCCTGCACAATTCTTTGCTCCTTTATCTCTGGCGCCCAGTTTCTTTCAAAGGCCACTGGTTGACTGTCAGGCCCTGGCGCGGTTACTTCAAAAGGCCACAGGTTTGGCCACCAGAGGCAGCCTCTGCTGCTTCAGCGTCACAGTTCATCAAAAGACCAACCTTTCTGGCACCTTCATGCTGGCACCGCTAGTCAGCCCGGGCTTTATGAAGCTCCACTGGCTCTCCAACGTTGTGTGGGTAGATTAGACTAGTTGACTCAGCTTTGACAGAATAAATTGGATCTTGTCCGAGCACCAAGGAAATGCCCTGTAATGCAAGAACCACCATCAACAACAGGCCTTTGACAGCACATTTCTTCTGCAAAATGCTGTGGACTGAACAGGTGAGCTTCAATGTTCTTTACTTCCAGGTTTTGCATGAAAAGTGGTTTCTTTGTTTTTCTTCCTTTTGTAACGTGCGCTTTCTTGGCAGGCCGGTGAGGTGATTTTGGTCGCAGAAGGATAACCAGTTTCGCATCAGTGGGTTGGGTGTGGGTGTTTTTTTTTGCATGTTCCACCGTGCATATTTTGTTCTCTAGATCGTGCTCAAAAAACAACTGTAAAATAGTAACAGTACATTTTTGGGTGGTTTGCCTAACAAATGTAACTTACATTTTGTTAGGTCTATGTTAGGGGAACATGCAAGTGACACCTTTTTCAGGTCCCCCCCCCAGAATGGGTAGGGATAATATACAAATAAACAGTTGTATATACACACATTATATGAAATCTTTGCAATGTATGTATGTATTGTAATGTAATGTATTGTAATGTAATGGTATGGTATGGTATGGCATGGTATGGTATGGTATGGGATGTTTTTTTTTTTTGTATTGTATTGTATTGTATGTGTATGTGTATGTATATGTATATGTTTATGTATATGTGTATGTGTATATGTATTTGTATTTGTATGTATGTATGTAATGCAATGTAATGTATTGTAATGTAATGTAAGGTAAGGTATGGTACGGTATGTTGGTATGTTGGTATGTTGGTATGTAGGTATGTATGTAGGTATGTATGTAGGTATGTAGGTATGTATGTATGTATGTATGAATGATTGTATGATTGTATGATTGTATGGTATTGGTATTGGTATTGGTATGGGTATGGGTATGTAGCACCTATTCGATCCTTCGCGATATTATAACAACGTTCTGACTTTGGTTTGACTTGATGCATTTCGCGACTTACGCGACAAAACAATTTTCCAGGTTTGCTTGATCTTGAGCCCCAGCGAGTAGAAGCCCATTCCTCCTCGTCGTCTGAAGAAAAAAGGACCTATATAGATCTTGGATGGTCTTGGGCTGTCGCTTTGAACGTTCGACTTGCTGTGCATTCAATATACGACATCCCTCCACTCAATCAAGAAACCCTGCAATAGTCGGCGGGTATTACATATATAAGCATTGGCCACCCAGATATTGCATGCAATGTCCATGGTGTCAAGCGTATGTATATGTGTTTACAAACCATGTTCCAAGGAACAGTCGCCAAATTGTTGAGTGTGGTTGTAGCTTTGGTCAGCGGGACTTGAGGGCGTTTCCGCCACATACAAGTTCACTCGGACAAAATAATTGCAGACTCCAGGAGAACTCGAGAGCAGTTCGCAAGAGAAGCTGAGTGGAAGTCTCGACATGTCTTTGGTCCACCCAGGACGCGGTCATTCTGCAGCCTGTGGTTCCATTTGTTTTTGTATGCTTGACATCTGGAATTTTGCTTCAGACATTTGGTCCTTTCACAGGGCCACAGTGGTTCACAAGATTAAATAGCGACAATCGACAATTTCCCTGAGTTTGAGGGTTTTTGTACAAACAAAGAACAATCTTTTGGTCAAATCACAACTTTTCATGGTAAAACCATAGCAACAAGGTTTCGTACATTCTTTTATATTCTTTTCTCACAGGAGGCAGTATGAGCACGAAGCTTCGATGGCTCATCGTGGTGCAGTCACCAGTGCTATTTACTCAGGATATCTCAGGATATTTCGGACCCGAAGTCATTTGAAGCGTCCTGGACTTCAGATGCGCAAGATAGAGGGTCATGAAGTGTTGGTTGTGTTAAAGGTTTGCCCGTAGAATTGTGTCCTTTCTCTGCGAATCAGTTGGCTCATGGCTAGTTGTCCGTCCTGCACTGAGGTCTCCTTCTTGGACGACCGCTTGCTTTCCTGTGGAGTTGATGGCAAGGCGCTTTCAATGATAAAAGCTTTGCGCGCGTTGTTGCGTCTAGGAATCTAAGCAGACCTACCCGAGCTTCACGTCGCATGTCACAAGTGCCCACAAAAATCTTCATGGGCAGCAGTATAGATCAGTATAGTTCTGCTCCAGGTCCGATGCTGGGATCCGAAGACTGGACACCTACAGGTGGCGAGCATGGTTGAGTTCTGTATCTAGCAGAATCCATCAACAAATGTCTACATTTATATAATGTACTCGTACATTTTCAACATCTATCAGTTTTCTTTTGATGTTGAGGAGACTTTAACAGTATTTGCGCTTGTATAATCTTGTGCCAAAACAATTCAAGAAATATCAAAAACATTGGTTGATTGGCACACTGGCCAATGTTCATGCGCTTACCAGAGCTCTTAAATGGAAGACCACATGTGCTTTCATGTTTCGTGTAGCATCACTCATGACAGCTGTTTTTCATTGAAGCCTGCCGTGGAAGCTCTTTGGACTAGAGGCCATGGCTCACAAGAGGGAGATCAAGTCTGACAAGGTCCTTGCAAAATGCGAGGCCTGCTTCGCTGATTTTGCTTTGCTGCCTTCTCAAAAAAGTGTTAAAGAATGGCACCAGCGTTCAATGAACTTTTTGAGCTTCTGGCCGTTTAAGCAGGCAGGATTATGGCGAGATGTTAATGTGGAGTGCAGCAGAGAGGCTTGAGTCACCTTGAGTCCCTCCAAAGTTCTTCAGAGACTGCAACTCGTCGATGCCTTTTGCCACTGCAATTTCTTTGTGTAAGAGTGTGGAGATAGTAGTTTAGGTGCTTGCATGGGCAGGAGAAGGCAATGCAGATGTCAGCCTTAGGATATCCAGATGAAGTCTGCATGATACCAGAGGAGGACAGCAGAGAATGGAACCAGCACATCGGACAGATCTAGACGGATGATTCGACATTCATTGCATAGCTGCCAACTTCATCCTGTAGCTACTAAGTAGCGCTGATGCTACTAGCACCTACAGCCTTGCGGCCCACGGGCTTAAAAAGGTGGAACACATTCTTCTCCAGGAGTTGTTGGCAGTATATGGCCTGCGCTCGAGCCGCTGCTTGTGTCGCCTTGCAGCTCACAAGGGCGCAGTGCTGTGCTGCGAAGCCTTGAATGGCGAGATGCTGTCTGGAGGCAAGCAAGCAATGTGTTAGGAAGCAAAATGGACACAAACATTTGTGTTTTTCTTTAGCAAGGCCAGTTTTCAGCCTTGAACAGATTCTTACAGCCCTTCGATGCTTCACAGATTCTGTTGAGTAGCAGAGGTGCAGACGGCTTGCTTCTTCACTGGCGCAGTGGTGCTCGCAGCCAGTGTAGTGTGCAGAAAGGCTGGGTACCGTTGAGTTGCAGCTCCGGAAAGATACGGAGTGACTGTCCCAGCTTTGCGACCCAACGATAGGTTTTAGATCCGCTTCTACATGAGGGACTCATGCATGTGTGAATGTCATTGGCTTGCCAGGCGAAGTCATTTTGCTGGATTGACAAATTTTCTTGTTCTTTCTTTGTGCTTGTTTGCTGGCACGATCGGGCGCGATGTACAGTTGAAACCGGCCCTAAAGCGACAAAAGAAGTTATTTTTGAATTTCGAATAGAATCCTGGAAATATAGATCTTTAATCGACTTCCAAAAACACCCTATAATCGGACAACTTGAATTCAAAATGACTATCAGATTTTGTAAACACATTTCTCATAGAATTGCATATTTCATTTCGAAAGCCAGCCGATAGGCTAGGCTTGAGCTTTTACTGTAGGGCGAACGAAGTGAGTTAACGGGGTGTGGGGGTGGGGTGGTCGCTGAACAGGACCTTTTGATAGGGTGGACGCAGAGCTTGGTGGGGGAGAGCGCTCCAAAGCGAGGGTCCGAAAAGCAGTGAAAATGGGATCTGTTAATGCGAATGATGATGTCCTCGGTCGAATGGATGCTTCTCACGGCGTCTACATGCGCCGAACGTTTTTCCGGCTTGCCGGTGCAGATACTCTAGTTTGAGAGTACTTGGCGGTGAGTGGTCCAAAAATCGACGTCGAGATGCCATCTACTTTTCTTCGTTCTGCTGCACTTTTTTTTCTAGGCTCAGACAGGAAAAGTACATGGCACCGACCTAAAGTGCAGCCAAGTCCACACAGTCAAGCTCCACTTGATTGCCGCAGTCATGTTCTGTTAGATACATTCATATACTACAGAATCGCAATGTGCCTCTACTGTAGCATCTGTCTGCTTCTGCAGTTCATCCTGGAGTCACAGAAGTGCGCGCTCTGACTGTCAGTGTGCGCCATCTACTGCGCGTTGTTCTTCTCCTTCTTCTTCTTCCCTTTCTCCTCTCTGGTCTTCCTTGTCTCCCCCCATCTCCTCCCTCATCTCTTCTTGCCCCTCTCCACCAATCTCTCCCCAGTCCCTCCCACCCTCGGGCGCTGTCGCCTACTTCCCACCATGGATGTCAGTTTGCGCTATCTACTGCGTGCACAGAATCACCGGCTCCTGGATCAATTACAATAGAACGCAGTAAACCTTTTCCTGCCCCACCTCCCCTTCCCACTCTGACTGGCAGTGTGCGCCATCTACTTTGTATTGAGTTCCTGAATTTGTTATCGTTCTTTCCTGTCTCCTCTTTGGTCTCTCCTTTTCTCCTCCCATCTCCTTCCTTTTCCCCTCTCCACCGATGTCGCCCAGTCCCTCCCGCCCTCCGGCGCTGTCGCCTTCCCACCATGGATGAGTTTGCGCTATCTACTGCGCGCGCAGAAGCACCCAGTCGTGGAGGAGGAGCAGGAGGAGGAGGCGGGGGGGGGGGCGGAGGAGGAGGAGGGAGGGGCAGGAAAGGGTTTATTGTGTGATTGAATGGGTTCAGCGCGCTCCTCCTCCTCCTCTTCCTCCTCCTCCTCTTCCTCCTCCTCTTCAGTAAAATGCAATAAACCCTTTCGTACCCCACTTCCACTCTCCGCTTTCCACCTCCGCCTCCGCCTCCGCCTCTTCCTCCTCCTCCTCCTCGTCCTCCTCCTCTTCCTCTTCCTCCTCCTCTTCGTCCTTCTCTTTTTTCTTTTCCTTCTTCTTTGATTGGCATCAGCCCACTCTTGGTTCCTTTTCTTCCTCCTTTTCTCTTCTGTTCGTTCGGTTCTTTTTCTTTTTCTCTGAGTCTGATTTATGTTCATGAGAAAAATTACTTGGCGTAGCCGTTTTTAGGAATCGGAAAAATTTCTAATAGATGGTTTTGAGAGTCTTGCCTTTTTAATTATCGGTTTTATTTATTTTTATCCGTATATATTTGCAATTTACTTGGCTAAAACATTATTTATATCTCCTTTTTTATCGCTATAAATAAATAGACGAATGAATTTTATTTTTTTCGAAATATTTATGATGCATATTTTTTTAATCTTTATTTTTATCTTTGCTATAAGGTCGTGGGAAAATATCGTTTATTTATCTTCGTTTACGACGGAAATCGGGATTTCGGGCGTTCCGGTAATAACCTTTTCGAAAAGAGGAATTAAATCGGGCGTATATTTGATATATGTCGAAATCGGCAAAATCATTTTGTGCGTGTTTTGCTGCTTTATTTTCTTTTTATTCTTTCTTTTTGAGATTATATGGGGGTTTACATTATTATTTTGAGGTAATTTTGGCCTATTTAGGGATTATATTTCGTATATCTGGGAATTATTTGAGCGACAGATAAAATTATTAATTGATTTATTTAATTACGATATAATTTTAAATTTATGTTGAGGATTTTATTTTTATGGAAAATAATATGGTTTTTATTAAAAACGATAATCTTATTAAAATTATAAAGATATTTGTGGTTATAATATATTATTATCTTTATATATTTATTTAAATATATTTGAATTAAATCGATGGGTAGTTTTTTTTACCAATGATAACCCTAAATAATGTCCTAAACGATAAATAAATAATAATTTAAATTCTATACTAATTATTCTATAGACTTATTTCTCCTTATTATTAGTGAGTAGTGTTTGTTTATGGGCCGAATTTTTAGGTCTTTACTTATGTATTGGGATTTTTGTTTAGCCCGGTACCATAAGAACCCAAATGCATAAATTAAATGATGGGTTATTTTTGTGCAGAAGTATTGTAAGCCTCTAATCTGAGGTTGTGAGTTAGATTTTGTATTTTAGTCTATGTGGTGGTCTGCTATATTAATTAAGATTTGGAAAAATATTGGGGAATGATATGGACCCCATCAAAAATGATAATCATATCAAATGGTATTTGGCTACGTAAGTAATTTTGTCCGCTGCTTATATAGGTAGGGTTAGCTTGCGATAATGCATGTTATATTTGGGATTTATGTTGGGTCCTCTTGAGGACCTTTATTAGATTATTTTGGAACACATGTTCCGCCTTTGTTGTTGGTGCGTGCCTAACACTTACGAAATGTTGACTAAATCTGTCCGAGCGGTACATATAACCGACACTATCCTTGAAAAACCCAGCATTTTTGCAATCTGTCGACCGGGGGTCGGGTAGATTCTTTCCGCGGTCCAACAAAAGGATCGGCGGCAGGGGCGGCAAGCGTATATAATCTTCGATTACCAACCGAAGGCCTCCGGCAAGGATACGGGCATTGGGGCCGGCGCCGGATTTTTGGGATTGAACGAACGAATCTATCAAGTGGAAGAAGGTGTTATCGTTTGGTTTTCTTTCTAGTCTGTATTATTTCATTCAAAGGTTATTATATGGTTAAATATTGGATTGAATTGATGAATTTAAAACGTGACGATATTGATATTGGTTCCTATCGCGCGACCATGTCATGTCTTTGGATATATTGGATCCGATTCTTACATTAACCATAAATTTCGGAATTTTGATAGGCGGCATCGCCATTTGCAGGCTTGTTTCTGGAGACGGTGTTGGTTGGACAATGCTAAATTGATGCATAATTCTATTTATAATTACTTGTCCCGGTACTAAGACACAGAAGGGAAACCACATACTAGAAGAGGAACATTTAGAATCTATACATCATAATGAAGATGATGAACGAACCACAGGAACCGATGAATCGCGAGATCCGTGAAATCCTCGCGAGCGTGGGACGTACAATGTAACAACAAGCATCAAATAATGAATAAATTTGATCTGTAATAAGCTATGGAGGGTGGCGACCGTTTAAGGGAATGTGAAGGATTTTCAAATTAATCATAGAACACAGATGGAGACGATGGAAGATTTTTTTAGAATCTATACAATCACCCCTATCGTATCGATAATCGGCGGTTGCTTAAGCATAGTCGCAATATTCGGAAACAGAATCGCATTCCTGGGTTCGAATGGATTGCCAATGCGTCACCTCCGCAGATCTCATTAATAATCGCGCGATCTTTGCATCAATTGCTAGGTCGGAACATCGGATATTTAGGTTGCATGGCCAGAGCTTGAAAACATTCTTTGCTGCAACATAAAGATCATGAATTACCTCAATGACTCTTCATCCCATGCGGCCTATTAGCTTCCGAGACATACAACATAAGGATATGAATTATATATCTTTTATATATATACATTCTACTCATTATATCGGCTTTTCCTCCATTATTACCCCCCGCTATTGAAAATAACGGACCCATTCTAATATTAATAAATATATTACGTATTAACGAAGATATATTAAACGCATACAAATGAATTTTTTCTATAAGAAACTAATCGAAATACATTTATCGAATTAATAATTCAATTATATAAATATACATATTATATTTATCTATATTTTTTATTATCGAAATATTTAATGTATATATATATATATATATTTGTAAATTATATATATCTATATTGATAATTGAAGAATATATATAATAAATAATTTTAAATATTCAATAAAAATCAAAAATAATTGTATAGATATCAATATGTTATGTTAAAGGTAATATTTAAAGAAAAATAGATTCTATATATAGAAGAATAATATATTAATAAATCAGATACCGATTTAATATAAATAAATATATAAATATAACAATTATTGAAATAATATATTGAATTTTAAAACATATATTTATATCGATAAACATTTATGCGAATATTTTTAATATTCAATATATGAGCAATGGCCAAAATTACTTCTAAATGCAATACCATTTGACATGATTATCGTTTTTGGTGGGGTCCATATCATTCCCCAATATTTCTCCAAACCGTAGTTAATATAGCAGACCAACACATAGGCTAGAACACAAAATCTAACTCACAACCTCAGATTAGAGGCTTACAATGCTTCTGCACAAGAATGACACAACATTTGATTTATGCACTTGGGTTCTTGTGGCACCGGGCTGTGTAAGGATCACAACAAATATGCGGGGACCTAGTAGCTCGGACCAACACTAGTAATGTGGAGAAGTGCATCTACGGAATGCCTGGCGTGAAATTTAGGTTGTCGTTCGTTTATCATTTGGGTTATCGTTTGGGAAATTATGTGGGATTATCATTGATGAAACCTTGTGTCCATCGAATTAGGTCAAATCTGCTCAAATAAACATGCAAATTCAATAACATCTGGTAACCACAATATCTTTATATCCACTACAACTTAACA